GACTCTTCTGCTTATTCCGTATTTTTTCACACTGTGTGTTCAGTAGTAACGCCACAAATTTAAATGTTAATCAACCGTGGTTTTTTTTTCACGATATCGCCCTAATTATATATGCGATTGCCATAGTAACTATTTAGGAGGACTGTCACATTCAATTTGCGTCAGTGTTGCAATCTTCTGGGCTCAGGTTTGTTGCTGGTCACTTACAATTAGATCTTTTAGGAAATAACTGAAGTCCCCGACGTTTTCCGTTACATTTTATAAATTAGCAGCCGACGCGGCCAGTCAGAAAATACGCCATCTCATTTGCCTGATGTTGGTTTTGTCCCAGTGTTGCCGCCTTTCACGCAACCAATTTATTGGTGACAATTATCTCCAGGGATGTCCCATTAGGCCCGAACTCTGTGTGACCTCCCCCCTTGTTCACGTGAGAGCCTTCGCTGTATAATCAGAGCCCCTCGATGGGGGGTGGGAAGCAAGTTGCTGTGGCTAGGGAATCCGACGGCAAGCTTGCCCATGAGCGCACAGTCTTAGCCTAATCCCAGCTGAGGTTGCCATGGTAACTGTTTGACAATCCTGCCAAGTAAAAGGTTCAACATTTTACTACATTCCCCACAGTCCATAGGGGATCTGTGCTGGAGAAGTGAAAGTAAAACATGTGAGGGGCAACAGAACATACAAAATAATCAGGTGTGATACACGAGATGATCAAAAAACACAATTCACATAAAGAAGGAGCCCCATAGAACACAAATGGGGGATTTTTAAAGGTGTCATAACCTGAAGCATATTTGCTCAACACACACCTTAGGGGGGATTTATCAAAACTGGAGCAGACAAAAAACTGGAGCAGATTTGCACTGCAGCCAATCAGCATCTCTCTCTCATTTTCAAATCTCACCTGAGCAAACTGTAGAGAGATGCTGATTGGGCAACTGCTCCAGATTCTCTCTGCTCCAGTTTTGATAAATTCCCCCCATTGTGTGTGTGTATATAGTGTATGTATGTATGTATGTATGTATGTATGTATGTATATAGTGTATGTATATAT